TCTCTCTCTCTCTCTCTCTCTCTCTCTCTTTCCTCCCCCCCATTGGTTTCTCTTTTAGTTATGACAATATATATATTATAGTGTATACTTTAAGGGTGTGTCTAGACTACATAGCTCCGTCGACAGAGCTATGTGGATGAGATTACTAGACATAGCAAAATGAAGTGGCGATTTAAATAATTGCCTCAGATCCCTTTGTCGTCAGATCCCTTATGCGTCGTGAAACATTTTGCTATGTCTAGTAAACTTATCCACATGTCTCCGTCGATGGAGCCATGTAGTCTAGACATACCCTAAAAGTTGTTCAACTTTTTCTTTCATCTTCCTTGACTGAGCTGTGCCATTCAGATTCTGATTTATGAGTTATTTGGGAACATATCAGACAGAGAGCACAGTCTAGCTCTTAGAGCAAGAATGCTGGAAAAGTAAGTTAAAGCTGGGAATGTACAAAGCTTCATGAGAAGGTACAAGAATAACTAAATTAACTTCTAGAGGAGTTAATTTAAAACATAATTCTTATAGATCTGATCCTTGCTTCACAGCTAGCTATTTGCAAGATAAGGATTGCACGATCAGGCCCTACATGACAAATAATAAATAGAACTGAACAAAATATTTCAGATACATTTGCAATTTAAAAGCATTCAACCATATGAGAAATAGATTTTTTTTGTAAAACAGAGAGACAAGTTTAAATCCTTAAGATTTAAAAAACGAAAAAGTTAAAGCATGACCAGTTAAATAAAAAACCAAATTCAATCACTCCTCTCTCTCCCGAAATAAACCAATATAAACAACACAAAGCCCTTCACAACTTAGTCCTCTTCTGCCTACCTGATCTTGTAGCTTATCACACTGTCATCCACCATCTTCACTTTTACTGCCAACCTTGTCAGCTTCTCCCCTCAACCATCATCCTGCCTTCTCCATATCACGCTGTATGCATGGGAAAAGTTTCATGAAAAGATCTATAAAATCATTACCTTACCACTTTCAAATCTCTCCTTAAGACTGACCTGTGTTCTGATGTCTAGAAAACATTGCTTGATGATCATAGCCAGTTGTGACTGTCCCTGTTCACCTTCCTCCATTTTCTAATATTACTGATACCTGCATTCCAGCCATTCCTCTTATTTTATTTCTATCTCCAATTTAAATATTATAACAAAATTGTGCCAGTTATCTCCTGTATCTATTTATTTGTTTGTAGGTTTTATCCCCATTCCCAGTTCTTCGGTTAAATCTACACTCTGAAGATTTTCCATGTATAGCTATTCTATTCTGGCAACGTGCTTCTAGAGCAGATGCAGAATATGGCAAAACTGCAATTTTGCTGTTATAGTCATGGCAGCTACATCTGTATTTCCTCTCGGTGACCCAGCAAGGACACCCCACTCTCAAGTTTCCAGATCGCCAGTCTTTCTGGGTGGCAACCTGCATCTGTCTTCCTCCTAACAGGGATATTTCCAGGGTGCCCAAATACTCTACCTTCACTGTGTTATTCCCAGCACAGACAGGTTTCTCAAGCACATGTGCTTGCTTTCTCTTCAGAGATGTTTAATTCATATACAGGCAGTCTCCGGGTAACGTACAAGATAGGGACTGTAGGTTTGTTCTTAAGTTGAATTTGTATGTAAGTCGGAACTGGTACATATTGTACCCCAGGTGTCCCCAATTCAGCCGCTGCTGAAACTGACCAGCGGCTGACTACAGGAAGCCCGAGGCAGAGCTGCTTTGCCCCGG